TGTACCTTTTTTTTTAAACAACAAAAAACAAAAAAACAAAAAACAAAAAACAAAGAAATACTGAATTGTTTAAACAACTGACTTGGTGCCCAAGTTATTCGTGCAAGATTGACCGAACGGTAGTTTGCGTGACTAATGTGCGTGACTAGTGTGCGCGATTAGGGTGTGCTTGCATTGGCACACTTCTAAAGTAACGTCTCCGAAACTCCAACCGTGTAGCATGGAATTTTAGGATGTAATAACATTGAGTTCGGTTATCAAGCACGATTAAAATAATCCAAGATTAGCGTGTGTTTTGATTACAGCTTCACAACATTTCAGTGCGGTATAAAGTTTCTGTGAGATTGCAGGGAGATTTCTGTCTGCTAAGTATAGTGTCTATAGGTTTTGTCCGCAAACTCCACAAACATTAGGGATGAAAAACAATTTCTTTGTACAAATTTAAAGGCAAAAACAAAAAAGGATAACAAGGTTCGCATCTTGACTGATTTTTTACTTCTCCGAGACGCGCGGGAGCTGGGAGTTTTGCGCCTTCAAAGATTTAATCTTTCGTTTACGTGGCGTGCGTTGCCAGGAAGTCGAACACACAAAGTTGGACAAAATTTCCCGTGCCCCTTTGACCGCAGTTACGTAGATTGCGCGATATCTAGTTAGTGACTAACTGTCTAGGGTGGGGAGGGGGACTCGGTAGAAAAGAAAAATGTGGTTGTATTCTATTGTAGGGAAAAAACATGGGACAACTTTTTTCTCAAAGAGTTTGTTGTTCTTTTGTTACTGTGTTGGACGTTATTTCAAATAGCGGGCATTATCTCAAGTTAATTTTGAAGCTTCGTCCTCAGACTCTCAGCCATTGGCGGGATATTTATACCACATGACGTAATCCTTTGCGGTGAAAGAGTTTGATTTTCCGGACCTCGTTCAAACTTTTATACGCGGAAAATTAGTTTTTCGATGTCGAAAATTAGTTCAGGAAGATAGCATCTAGTATCCTCAAGGCTACTATTTAGTAGTTAAGTGATAATCAGGCAGTGGTTGAAAAGGAAACTAGGAGACATTGAAGATCACAGAAAGGCTCGAAGATGGCGTCTCTTGCAGTTGGTATCAAAAGCACCCCAAACTTGTCTTGCGCTACAGGTGAGAAGATTTGACTAGAATAAGTCGAGTCCTTCATTTGCTTATCCATGTTAAGAGCTTCTCAAGTCAGCAAAGTGGTAATCGTTATAGTATCGCTGAGTATCTAGATGCGAACACCTGGATGCAAAATCTAGAACGTTGTTTACGAACT